GATGATCTTAAGCAAAAAGAACAAAGCTGGAGGCATCATGCCACCTGACTTCCAACTATATTACCAGGCAGCATGGTACTGGTACCAAAACAGACATATAGCATAATGAAGCATAACAGAGACCTCAGAAATAACACCACACATCTACAACCATATGATCTTCAACAAACCTGACAAAAACAAGCAATAGGGAAATGATCTCTTATTTAGTAAATGATGCTGGGAAAACTGGCTAGCCATATACAGAAAACTGAAACTGGACTCCTTTCTTAAACATTATAAAAAAATTAACTCAAGGTGGATTAAAGACTTAAATGTAAAACCCCAAACCATAAAAACCCTAAAAGAAAACCTAGGCAATGCCATTCAGGACACGGACATGGGCAAAGACTTCATGACTAAAATGCCAAAAGCAATTGCAACAAAAGCCAAAATTGACAAATGGGATCTAATTAAACTAAAGAGCTTCTGCACAGCAAAAGAAACTATCATCAGAGTGAACAGGCAACCTACAGAATGGGAGAAAACTTTTGCAATCTACCCATCTGACAAAGGTCTAATATCCAGAATTTATAAGAAAGTTAAACATATTTACAAGAAGAAAACAAAAAAAGTCCATCAAAAAGTGGGCAAAGGATATGAACAGACATTGCTCAAAAGAAGACATATGCAGCCAACAAAAATATAAAAAAAGCTCAACCTTACTTATCATCAGAGAAATGCAAATCAAAACCACAATGAGATACCACCTCACACTAGTCAGAATAGTGATTATTAAAAAGTCAGGAAACAATAGATGCTGATGATGCTGTGGAGAAATAGGAATGCTTTTACACTGTTTGTGGGAATGTAAATTAGTTCAACCATTGTGGAAGACAGTGTGGTGATTCCTCAAAGATCTAGAACCAGAAATACCATTTGACCAAGCAATCCCATTACTGGCTATATACCCAAAGGAATATAAATCATTCTATTATGAAGACACATGCACACATATGTTTACCACAGCACTCTTTACAATAGCAAAGACATGGAACCCATCCAAATGCCCATCAATGATAGACTAGTTAGAGAAAATGTGGTACATATATACCATGGAATACTATGCAGCCATAACAAGAAAAGAGATCACGTGCTTTGCAGGGACATGGATGAAACTGGAAGCCATCATCCTCAGAAAACTAACACAGGAACAGAAAACCAAATACCACATGTTCTCACTCATAAGTGGGAGTTGAACACTGAGAACATATGGTCATACATAGAGGGACAACAAACACCAGGACCTGTTGTGAGGTGGGGGCTGAGGTGAGGGAAGTTAGGGGACAAATCAATAGGTAGAGCAAACAATCATGGCACTCATGTACCTATGTAATAAACCTGCATATTCTGCACATGTGTCCCATTTTATTCTTTTTAGAAGAAATAAATAAAAGAATATTATTTAACAATAGAAAGGAATGAATTACTAATACACGCTGTAATAATGTGACTAAATCTCAAAAACATTATGCTAGGTGAAAGAAGCCAGATGCAAAAGGCCATAGACTATATGAATCCATTTACATGAAATGTCTAGAAATGCAATCCAATAGAAATAAAAAGTATATTAGTGGTTATCTTGGGCTGGGTGTAGGAATGGGAGTGACACAAAGGGTGGGCACAAGGAAAATTTTGGGGTGATGAAAATGTTCCTAAATTGGAGTAAAAATCATTAAACTGTGTATTAGTTCATTTTCAAGCTGTTGATAAAGAAACACCTGAAATTGGGAACATAAAGAGTTTTAATTGGACTTATAGTTCCACATGGCTGGGGAGGCCTCAGAATCATGGCAAAATGTGAAAATCGCTTCTTACACGGCGGAAGCAAGAGAAAAATGAGGAAGAAGCAAAAGCAGAAACCAGTGATAAACCCATCAGATCTCGTGAGACTTACTCAGTATCATGAGAACAGCACGGGAAAGGCCGACCCCCGTGAATCAATTACCTCCCCATGGGTTCCTCCTACAACACACAGGAATTCTGGGAGATACAATTCAAGTTGAGATTTGGTGGGGACACAGCCATACCACATCATTTCACCCCGGCCCCTCCAAGTTCTTTCAAAACCAGCCATGCCTTCCCAATAGTTCCCCAAAGTCTTTTTTTTTTTTTTTTTTTTTTTTTTTTGAGACGGAGTTTCGCTCTTGTTACCCAGGCAATGGCGCGATCTCGGCTCACTGCAACCTCCGCCTCCTGGGTTCAGGCAATTCTCCTGCCTCAGCCTCCCGAGTAGCTGGGATTACAGGCACGTGCCACCATGCCCAGCTAATTTTTTGTATTTTTAGTAAAGACGAGGTTTCACCATGTTGACCAGGATGGTCTCGATCTCCCGACCTCGTGATCCACCCGCCTCGGCCTCCCAAAGTGCTGGGATTACAGGCTTGAGCCACCGCGCCCAGCCATAGTTCCCCAAAGTCAACTCATTTCAGCATTAACCCAACAGTCCACAGTCCAAAGTCTCATCTGAGACAAGGCAAGTTCCTTTCACCCATGAGCCTGTAAAATAAAAAGCAAGTTATTTACTTCCTAGATACAATGTGGGTTACAGGTATTGGGTATATACAGCTGTTCCAGATGAGAAAAACTGGAAATTGGCCAAAACAAAGGGGTTACAGGGGCCATGCAAGTCCAAAGTCCAGCAGAACAGTCAAACTATAAAACTCCAAAATGATCTCCTTTAACCTGAGATCTCACATCCAGGTTATGCTGAGGCAAGAGGTGGGTTCCCATGGTCTTGGGCAGCTCTATCCCTGTGGCCTTGCAGGGTACAGCCTCCCTCCTGCCTGCTTTCATGGGCTGAGGTTGAGTGTCTGTGGCTTTTCCAGGTGCATGATCCAAGCCATTGGCGGATCTACCATTCTGGTGTCTGAAGGACGATGGCCCTCTTCTCACAGCCCCGCCTGGCAGCACCCTACTAGGGATCCGATGGGGGATCTGACCCCACATTTCCCTCTGCACTCTAGCAGAGGTTCTCTATGAGGGTCCTGCACCTGCAGCAAACCTCTGCCTAGGCATCCAGGCGTTTCCATACATCTTCTGAAATAGGCTTGTATGGAACATCTAGGCAGGGTTCCCAAACCTCAATTCTTGACTTCTGTGTACCCATAGGGTCAACACCACGTGGAAGCTGCTAAGGTTTGGGGCTTCTGCCCTCTGAAGCCACATTCCAAGCTCTATGTTGGCCCTTTTTAGCCATGGCTGGAGCAGCAGGGACCCAGGACACCAAGTCCCTAGGGTACACACAGCACAAGGACCCAGGCCCAGCCCACAAAACCACTTTTTCCTCCTATATCTTCAGATCTGTGATGGGAGGGGCTGTTGTGAAGATCTCTGACATGGCCTGGAGACATTTTCCCCATGGTCTTGGGGATTAATACTAGGCTCCTTGCTCCTTAGTTAGGCAAATTTATTCAGTTGGCTTGAATTTCTCCCCAGAAAATGGGTTTTTTCTTTTCTACTGCATAATCAGACTGCAACTTTTCTGAGCTTTTATGCTGTTTTCCTTTTAAAACTGAATGCCTTTAACAGTACCCAAGTCACATCTTGAATGCTTTGCTGCTTAGAAATTTCCTACTCCAGATACCCTAAACCATCTCTCTCAAGTTCAAAGTTCCACAAATCTCTAGGGCAGAGCCAAAATGCCACCAGTCTCTTTGCTAAAATATAACAAGAGTCACCTTTGCTCCAGTTTCCTACAAGTTCCTCATCTCCATCTGAGACCACCTCAGCCTGGTTTTATTGTCCATGTCATTATTAGCATTTTGAGCAAAGCCATTCAAGAAGTCTCTAGGAAGTTCCAGACTTTCCGACATTTTCCTGTCTTCTTCTGAACCCTTCAAACAGTTCCAATGTCTGCCTGTTACCCAGTTCCAAAGTCACTTCCACTCTTTTGGGTATCTTTTCAGCAACACCCCACTCTACTGGTACCAATTTACTCTATTAGTTTGTTTTCATGTTGCTGATAAATACCTGAAACTGGGAACATAAAAAGGCTTAATTGGATTTACAGTTCCACATGGCTGGGAAGGCCTCAGGATCATAGTAGGAAGTGAAAGGCTTCTTACATGGTGGTGGCAAGAAGAAAATGAGGAAGAAGCACTATCTCACTATCATGAGAATAGCACGGGAAAAATGGGCCCCCATGATTCAATTACCTCCCCCTGGGTCCCTCCCACAGCATGTGGGAATTCTGGGAAATACAATTCAAGTTGAGATTTAGTGGAGACACAGCCCAACCATATCAAACTGTAAACTTAAAATAGGTTAATTTTATAGTATATAAGTTATACCTAAATAAAACTAGTCTTAAAAATGTACCTTTTAAAAATACTATATATTACTAGGCTATAATTTTATTTGAAAGTAGGGATACACAAATAGTCTTAGGAGCTCTTGCCCCATAGGTGTAGTGTCAAACCTCCTGACTCCAGGTGTCCATAATTTCAACAGGGAGTAAGAAGAAGTAGACTAGTTCTTGTTTCTGGGGAAGGTGTTTGTGAGCGAATTCACCATGTACACCAAATAACAGGGGTAGGATTAGAATATTTACGAAGAACAGACTTTTAAATTCCTATGTAATTTAGAATCACTAATTTTAATACAAGGATCTAGTGGTATAAAATATCCTTATATATTAATTAAAACAGAGCCATTAACATCTCTGCAACATAATCTTTTGACAGCATCACTTGAGTTCTGCACTTAAAGATTTTAAGTAATATCTAATTCAGACATCTCATTAAATCAGAAGCATCTTTCTACTTTCACCCTAGTTTGTTTAAAAGAGTCATTCACAGCATATTTCTGCAATTATTAATTATATCTTGACCAAAAATATGTATCCACATATTATACAAATACATATTTTAAGGAACAGAGGCTACAAAAGTAGTTAAAAATGCACATTTGATTTTTGGTGACCAGTGATACATTTTGTCCCTAACATTGCAATCAGGTACCTGGAATGTGATGGGCCTCTTTCCTGGGAAGTTTGGGAGGACAGACTTCCATCAAAGGAATTTCCTCGGTGGCAGCCCGAAATGGTGGCCTTGGGTGAGATGGAATCTGACTGGAATGTTTCACAAACCACCTGGAGTCCCTTTTGGAGGTAGAGACAGCAGATTAGGTTTTGTTTTGTTTTTTTCCTGTAGCTATATCCTCTAGAATTAGCTACCATATTACATACATGGTTCCATAAATGGAATTTTTTCATCATAGTTAATTATGATATCATGGGCCAAGGGATTTTGACTTCATCTCAGAGAGAATAGAAACAGACTTCTAGGGATCACCTCTGTCATTTCAAGCATCAGGCAAAGTAATTTCATATATATTTTTTTCTTAACTATTTTCTTTTTCATCTTCATATCCAGTATCTACAGGAGAGTTACACATCAAGAATTCATCATACTAAGGTGAACTGAATAGAAGCATGAGGCTAAAATGGAAGTAGCAGGTTAGTAGGAACTAATCAAATTGAAGCCAGAACATGAGAATGGAAGTGCAAGGTTCAACTTTTTTCTTCATTCATCAGTGGAGAGATGCAATACACTTTTCTAATTGGACACAGTGACCTTTATTCTGATTTATAAGTACATATTCAGCAGTTCTCTTACCAGGTAGCTTATTTTAATTACATTTAGCCGATAAATGTAATTCTGCCCAAGTAATGTGAGATATTTTCCCATAGGCATTATAGGTGAAATTCTTTACTAAAGTATAAAGACCCTCAACAATCTATCATGGAAGGTTAGCCCTTACGATTTTAATTTTTATACACAAAATAAGGCATTATTCAATCATGATGGACAGAGAGACAAATATAGCTAGAAATTTGATGAATTAAGTCTTTTAAACTTGACCATAAAATTCTTTAGCATAAGTATACTATCTGTGCCTCATGTTAGGTGATTTGAGAGATTTAAAAAATTAAATGAATCTGAACCTTAAACTCATGAACTTACACGTAAGTCTCAAGACAGGTATGTAAAGGCCAGAGAAGCATGTCCAATAGAAATATAATGTAAGCCACAAACAGCCATATATCTGATTTTAAATTTTGTAGAGGCCACATTAAAAACAGTGAAAAGGAACAGGTGAAATTATTTTTAATAATATATTATTTTTAACTCAATTATCATTTCAGCATAGAATCAATATAAAAATTATTGAGATTTTTTTTTTTTTTTAAGACAGGGTCTCACTTACCCAGTCTAGAGTGCAGTGATGTGATCTTGGCTCACTGCAACCTCCACGTTCCAGGCTCAGGTGATCCTCTCTACTTAGCCTCCCAAGTAGCTGGGACTACAGGCATGTGCAACCATACCCCACTAATTTTGCTATTTTTAGTAGAGATAGAGTTTCGCCATGTTGCTCAGGCTGGTCTTGAACACCTGGGCTCAAGTGATCTGCCTGCCTCAGCCTCCCTAAGTGCTGGGATTACAGGTATGAGCCACCACACTGAGTCTACATTCTTTCTTATACTACATTTTCAAAATCTGATGCACATTTTACACTCTCAATTCAGACTAGCTGTATTTCAAGTATTCAATAGCCATGTGGGCTTAAAGCATATCATATTGGACAGTGCAGGCTTAGACAAATTAAACAAGAGTTCAGGGGGAATTGAGATCTTAACTTGTCCTCAAAAAGATAAAATTTAGACAAAGGAAAGAGAAGATTCCAGTTACAGGAAACAATAAAAACAAAGATTTGGAGGCTACAATGAGTAGGCACTATAAGTTAGAGACAATAGTTAACTAACTGACTGATGGGGTCATCAGAGACAGGTTCACTTAACAAAGGTGGTACCAGGTGGTGGGAGGCGGAAAAAACAGGGAGAGGAATTAGGTTTTGCAGTGATAGTCAATAGGATACACTACAGGTTTCTAAAGAGAAAGAGATGTGATAAAAGGATGGCACTGTGCACAACATGCCTTTCATGGAATGGTGAGTTAATAAATAAATGACATATTAGGAACATTAGGAATTATTAAGTAGTATTTGTGTGAAGAAGAGTCTAGAAGTAGAAAATTCAATTAGGTAGGTCCAGCGGCAATTTAGTTATGAGGGCCTGAATTAGAGGATAATAGTGGGCATAAGGAATAAAGAAAACATCTTAGCAGCATAACAAAAAGAAAACAATATGACTTAGCAGGAAATCAAATCGATAGGATTAAGTAGAACATAATATGAGATGTACATATTTCATTGCATCTAAGATGTCATTGTATATAAGATGTATAAGACACACCATTATTTTATGTAACCTTAAGAAAAAAATACCCTGTTAATTAAACTAGGACATTTTACTTCTTATCATTGAGGATTTTTATTTTATACTTGCTGAAAGAGCTATTTTACACTTACTTAGGCATAGCTTTTTTATTATATTTCCATCCTGTGTTTATGTAAGAGGAAAGTATAAGTGAAATAAATTGGTGTAGGTATTCCTGAAACTTCACATTTAAAATTTTCAACCCAGAATTATTAATATTTGAGTTTTTCCAAAGAATAACCTCCTCATATCAAGAGTGTTATTTCTTAAAATAGTGCTCCACTATTCCCTCTGACATATACTTATTCCACTGACCCTGATGCTACAAATTCAGATGCTGGAAATGACCAAATTCATGCTGCACAAGAATTACAACCATATCAAGACAGCTACCAGTAGGGAGATTACAAAAGGCTGAAGATTGTCAAGCATACTCAATTTCAAAGATGTTAAATGTGAAATATATATATATATATATATATATATATATATATATATATATCTTTCAGCATGTAAATCACAGTGTATGTACTTAGTAATTGCTCAGTAAATGGTAGCTGTAATAGTACTCCAACATTTCCAGGTTGGAGGGTAAAAAGGGTGATGATATTCCTGGCAGTAATAACAGCTGGAAAGAGGACCCAATTTTGTTGGAAGGCAGCAAGTTTCACTTTGCACATGTTGAACTGAAAGTGAAAGCAGGTCGTTTAATGGCATAAGTTAATAGTAGTATCGATTTCTATGTAGCTTTCAGTTACTCTGGCCTTCATTTCTTTTCTTGACCAAACGTGACAAATTTGCACTGAATTATATTCTGCGTCTTATATCGTATTTTGCATCTTCTGTTTTATTTGGGTTAATCTTGACCCCTCATTAAACTTTAGATTCCTTGAGGGGTAGGACTATCTTATACCTCCTTTCAACTCCCTCCTCCTGACCTCCAGCAGCAATATTCTGCCTACATCAGAGTTACTTAACAAACATCAAGGGATTCAATAATTGAGAGCAAGGTGATATGTTATTTAATCTGGGATGTAATGATAACTAACACTTAATGAGTGTTACATGCTAGCCACTGAGATAAAGCACAACTCATTAAACACTAACCACTGAGATAAAACACTAGTTGTATATTGCCTTGTTTCAGCACCTCCATGATTTGGGGAGATACAGAAAATTAATTTTCATAGACGACTGATAAAAACCTGAGGCTGTTAAAAATTGCACATTCAGGAAGGAGGAGTGGCTTTGAGCCTGGTAGTGTGATTCTAGAATTCATGTCTTTCCTTCACACTATACTGTATCTAAGGACTTACTGCCTCCCTTCTTCTTATGATTATAATAAACTAACCTCTAAGTGTCCTGCGTCTTGATTTGGCGATTCACAGGACCGGCTTTGACTGTTGATAGGAGAACTTCTCTTGGCTGAAAAGATGGAAGAAGTTCCATCGTTTTATAAGGTTATAAGTGCTTCTTATTTCATAAGTTCACTTCTTTTTCAAATAAAAAAGCCATTTTAATAGAACATTATTACTTTAAAAGAAGACTTTAATGCACATTGTAAGAGAAATTCAAATAACCAATTCGAAAATCTTAGCAGTTTTTGGTTATCATTGTAGATACTCATCTCTTCAGTCTGACTCAGTAAGTTAAGGTGCTAAAAAGTTGGCAATACTAAAAATCATGATAATAGTTAACACCTACTCGGCACCTAATATATGCCAAGTTCTCTAAGCATTTTACATATACTGTCATGAATCACTTAAGGACAAAGATATGTTCTGGGAAATATGTTGTTAGGCAATTTTATCAGTGTGCAAACATCATAGAGTTTACTTATACAAACCTAGATGGTATAGCCACCTACAAATCTAGGCTATATGATATAGCCTAGAGCTTCTAGGCTACAAACCTGTACAGTATGTTACTGTATTGAATCCTGTAGGCAAATATAACACAATAGTATTTTTGCATCTAAACACAGAAAATGTACAGTAAAAATACGATATAAAAGATAACAAATGATACCCCCATATAGAGCACTTACCATGAATGGAACTTGCAGGAGTGGGTGTTGCTCTGGGTGAATCAGAGAGTGAGTAGCGAGTGAACGTGAAGGCTTTACTAAATCTATTTTTGAAAAGTTTTTCTCTTTAATAATAAATTAACTTTAGCTTGCAAACATTCTAGTTTTTTAAACTTTTTGACTCTTGTCAAAACACTTAGCTTAAAACATATCAGCTGCACAAAAATATTTAATTTCTTTGTAACCTTATTCTATGTGCTTTTTAATATAGTCATATATTTATAAATTTATTTTTTACTTTTATTTTATATATTTTCATATTTTATACTTTTAATATATTTTATAGTATATATTACTATATATACTAGTATGTAATACAGTATGTATTAAAAAGTATAAAAGTATGTTGTATGTTTTTTGTATGTTTATTTTATGCTTTTATATATTTGTTTTACTTTTAAAACTTTTTTGTTTTGAAACAAGTGCAGCCACTGCTTACTCACTACATGCCAGGCATTCCTGTTTTTCTGGTAAAAACAAGACACAGACACACACATTTGACTAGGCCAGGCATCCCCAGACTTTTTACACAGGGGGCCAGTTCACTGTCCCTCAGACCGTTGGAGAGCCGCCACATACTGTGCTCCTCTCACTGACCACCAATGAAAGAGGTGCCCCTTCCTGAGTGCGGCGGGGATGGGATAAATGGCCTCAGGGGGCCGTAGTTTGGGGATGCCTGGCCTAGGCCTACACAGCATCAAGATCATCTGTATCACCGTCTTCCACCTTCATGTCTTGTCTCAAAGGAAGGTCTTCAGGGGCAATAACACAAATGGAATTGTCATCTTTTATGATAACGATGCCTCCTTCTGGCACATCTCCTAAAGGACCTGCCTGAGATTGTTTTACAGTTAACTTTTTAAAAATAATAAAAATATATAGTAGAAGTAGAAGAAATATACTCTAACAATTAAAAGCATGGTAGAATAAATGCATAAACCGGTTATATAGTTGTTGGCTATTATTATAAAGTATTATGTGCTGTATATAATTTTATGGGCTATACTTTTATAATAAACAGGCAGTGCAGTAGGTTTGTTTACAACAGCATCACCACAAACACCTGAGTAATGTCTCCTGCTGGGTTACCATGGCTGCAAGACCACTAGGTGACAGTTTTTCAGCTCCATTGTGATCTTATGGGACGACTGTTGTAGACACAGTCATTGACCAAAATGCTGTTACATGGCACAAAACTATAACTCATTTAACCCTTAAAATAACTCAATAATACTACCATATTATTATGTCAATTTTACAAGGGAAGAAACTGAAGCACAGTGAGTTAAACTTTCCCAAAGTCACTTGACCCTTGCATGAAGTTTCTAACCTAGACTGACTTTAGAGTCTGTGCTTTAGCTACTACATTAAGCTGTCCTGGAGGTAAAATTCAAATCAGTTACATCTTTACCTGAAGACCAAGAACAGTGAAAAACTAAGATGGCAATGTCTCATTTAAATTGTAAATAAACTGCTGCTGAGATGGAAGGTGACTTATCAAGGTTACCATGTGCCATTACTTTTTCTTCTAGTTATGCTGTCTAAGCTGAGTCTAATTTCCCCTCAGATGCTGGGCACTGCTTCAAGTCCACAGGCATCAGGCAGAGGGAGAAGAAATCCATTGTGAATATCATCCAGAAACAAAAGGAGGCGAAGTAAATGGCCCAAGCCCTTCCATGTAGGGACATGATTTCTTAGTAGTTTTTATATATGTGCTAAATTATAGTTTATGTATTAATAAAAAAGATTGTCCATTGTCTGCACAAAACCCTTATGAATTAAGCAAATTATATGTGTGTGTGGTATATTTTAAAAATATATATGTATGTATATATATGCTTCTGTAGATTTTCCACCTAATTTATTTTTAAAAATTTTATTATTAATGCTAAAAATAGAGTTGGGAGTAGAAGACTAGAATTTATTAAGCACTTACTATAAAGCAGGCACTTAATGCAGTCTCATTTACTTCTTACTAAAAAGCCCTATATGTTGGCATTATCATCTCAATTTTATCTAAAAGGAAATGCTTGGGAAAGTTAGGTTACATACATAGTAAGAGATAGATTTGGAGTGAGGTGTGAGCCTGCCATGCACTTTTCAATCTATCATGTTGTACTCATTCTGCAATTCCACAATGGGACTATTTCATGAGACAATTCCTGAAGAGAAATGCTTTGATAACAATAAAACACTAAGATGATTTTGTTACGGAGACTCTACTCCATTTTCCATGATGATGATGATAACATAATAATAATCGCACCTGCCACTTACTATGTCCCAGACATTCTTCTAAGCAGTTTAACATATCTTAGCTCCATTCCTTATCATAATCTTGTAAGTAGTATTAATATGATATTTAAATTTCCATTTTACATATGAGGAAGCTGAGGCACAGGAAGTCTAAATGAATTGCCCAAAGTTTGCAATAGAAAAATATGTGCTCTTGATTCAGAGTAGTTTCGACTCATGTGAATAAGCCCTATATCATGACACTTAACTCCATGGAGGTATTTGCTTCTTTTTTACTTCTTAGGGCAAATCATCCTGTCACTCTAACTACTATGTGTGAGAGAATCTGTTAATACTGTCCCAGTGAGTGTCCAAGTTACAAACCTGTGATGATGTTCCTGATGGGCTTTACCAGTGCAGTAAAGCCAGAGACTTCAGGCTGTCTGTGTTCCCACATGGGCTGCCATATAACAAGCCCACTGGCCAGGCGGAAGGTGAGGTCAGATTCCTGGTGAGGGAGTGGGGGAAGAGAAGATCTATGTCCAATAACTGGTAGGTAACAACTGCTAAAAGAGACCAATCAATGCAAGGATTAACATCATTCACAAGGTTATTTTCAGAGTGGATTTATCTGCCAAACCTTCTCTCATCACTCAGATGAATGTTTCTAGAATAAACTAATAACCCAAAGTTATCACTGTAATTACTATGAAAATCCCAGTTGTCTGCTTTATCCAAAATTAATGACCAATCAAAACGTTTCTTTCGGCCAGGCATGGTGGCTCACACCTGTAATCCCAACACTTTAGCAGGCCGAGGTTGGTGAATCACATGGTCAGGAGATAAAGACCATCCTGGCCAACATGGTGAAACACCATCACTACTAAAAATACAAAAATTGGCTGGGCATGGTGGTGCGTGCCTGTAATCCCAGCTCCTTGGGAGGCTGAGGCAGGAGAATTGCTTGAACAAGGAAGTTGGAGGTTGCAGTGAGCCGAGATTGCACCATTGCACTCCGGCTGCAGAGTAAGACTCCATCTTAATGGTTATTATTGTCATTCCTCTTAATTATTTAATTGTCCTTATTTCTCCCTCATAAGGCAAAATACTCAGCCACTGGCTATTTTGACTTTCTATTGTCCAGTCCATATCTTTTCTTATATTTTATGGAGTCAGGTACATATATTTTGACACTTCATAGTGTATTATTTTGTAATGTTGTCTTGAAAACCTTTAATTTCTTGAGGACAAGGATAAATCAAGCACCCTCCTTCCCTCTCAGCCTTGAGCATCATCACAGTGTTTCATATAGCATTAGGAACTGTGTGCAAAACAGACACTCAATAAATACTTGCTGAATAGGGCTGACTTTGCAACCCATGCTCACTCATTTATCTATGGTTTAAAGTATCTTCTATGAGCATATTATCTGCTTTCTTTTCACATCTTCACATTGCTTTGAGAGGCTGAGATGTTTAAAATGCAATATCATATTGTATAAGTATAAATATGTGACATTTTGAGATTATATCTTAAACACCTCAGTCTCTCAAAACAATGTAAATATAGAAGCAGAGAATGTGATCACAGATTAATGAATACATCTGAGACCCAGGGACTCACTTAGAGCAATGATTTGCAATCCCAGCTTGCATATTATAATCACCAGGGGAGTTTTTAAATCTAAGAGGCCCAGGTATCACTTATTTCCCCTACTCAGACCCATTAAATTAGCATCCTGTGAGATTTTCTAAAGATCCCCCTGGTGATTCTCACACATAGCTGAGGTTGAAAACCATTGAGACAGAAGGAAAAGAACTTAGAAGCAACAGGAAAAATAAAAAAAGAAAAGCAACTCTGTACATAGTGAAAAGAAACCTAAAGGTTAGACTGGGATTCTGACACTACTTGGCAACAGAACTACTCAGTTCCCACAATGGGAAAGTCTCTAGGATTCACTGTGGAAGTATTAGAAAAGCACATAAAGGATTTGGCTAAATTTATTCTGCATTTATTCTGTAAATATTTATACAGCACCTACTATATACCTGGTACTATTCTAGGTTCTAAATACAACAGTGAATAAGGCATACAAAAATCTTCCACAGTTCAAGGAAGAAGTGAAGGGCTGCGTCAGCCAACGTGTTGTCATTTTAGACCAGAAGATCAGGTGAAGCCTTACTGAGAAAGTGACTTTTGAGTAAAGTTCTGAATAAAATGAAGGCTCTATCATGTAACTATCTCCAGGTAAAGTATTCTATGAAAGAGAATCAGCAAACACAAAGGCCCTAAGTGTGCCTAGTGTGTTCAGAAGTAGCCAAGAGACAGTGTGGCCAGAGTCAAGTGAATGTGAGAAAAGTAGAAAAAAAATAAAATTGGAGAAGTCATTGAGTGCTAGATAATAGACCGCCTGATAGGTCATGATAAGGACTTTAGCAATTATTAAGATGGAAAGCCACTGTAAGTTTTCGAGTAGCAGAGTGACATGACTAGATGTATTTTTTAATAGGTTCACTCAGGCTGTTGAGAATAGTTTTAGAAAGGGCAATGGTGAAAGAAGAGACTATTTCAGAAGCTACTGTTATCATCTAGGTGAAAGATGATTAGACAGAGGGCAAAATGCAAAGTGGTAGGTTCTCAATGCATTTTAAAGATACAACTTAGAGAATTTGCTAGTAGTCTGACAGTGGAGCATGAGAAAAAGATGTCAAGGATTTTTGGCTTTGTGATTAAGAAAGATAGGTAAGATGAAGGAGGAGCAGGTTTGGGGATTTCAGAACCCTAGTTTTAGACATGAGATACCTGTTGAACATTAAGCTAGAGATAGCAAGTAAGCAGTTAGACAGACAGCTGTGGAGTTAAGAAGAGAGTAACCCAAATTCCCTTGGAAGGGACATGAGGAAGTCTGCATGATATTGCATGTAGATGCAGGAAATTAATATTAAGAAAATCTTGTCAGATTTGTCTCCACATATACAGGAACCAATCCTCAACTGACCTGGTTTTAATAGTTTCTGAATTCAGTCCATGTTTCTCATGTGAAATCTTGACACAAGTAAAACTCCAGTAGAAACTGCAGCAGGGAGTAATCTCTCTTGCACTGAAATCCTGGGCTTTAGCATGTGATCTATTAGCTTGGCACAGCACTCACTGACGGTCATGCTCATCACTTTGTTTTACTTGATACATCTCCAAGCAGATTGTATATTTCTTGAATACAAGTTGAGATCTTCTTCTGTGCATTTTCTCTTGAGCATCAATACAATACCAAACTAATGCGTTCATTAACTGAACATGTTTTACCTTCTCCAAATAAATCCAATCACTCTTTAGACCTGAATCCCTGCAGCACTTATGGCCTTCTCTTGCATTGGTATCTTCTTTTGTCAGTCTTCCTAAGTTGGATGAATGTGTAAACTCTGGGACTAATAGACTAATGTCTATTCTGGAGTTCCTTTTAATGGAACACACAATGCTGGGTATACACACACAAACAGAAACTCAGTAACTGGAGAGGACACTCTTTATCATTCAAACAGTTGTGAAGCGGATAGCCTAGAAGGGTCCTGAGAAAAGCCAGAAGTGTAAGCACAGATAGAGGCAATATACCCACATTTTAGATGCTTTTCTTGCTTTCACTGAGAATCTGTTTCCATGATGTCATGAAGCAATTCTAAATTTATTTACTAGTAGCTTAGAAAGATTTAAACAAACAACTATTATTTTAAGTTCCATTTTTAAGTTGTTTACTTTACACATATGGATTTTGTTAAAATCCCCTGAAGGGCTTGCTTTTTTGTTTTATTTCCTTCTGTTTCTCCAGCACATTGAATTGTAGGTAGCATATAGTAGGCACTTGATAAGTATTTGTTGAAAAAAAAAGTGAATATGACAAAATCATGACAATGTTGTTACCATATTTAAAGAAAATGCCTTAGTTTAACAAATATTTATCATTTTTTCACTGATAAAATTAAATTCAGTCTCAAAATAATAATATATTAAACAGGATTTTCAAGCTATGAATTTTATATAAACTATTTGAGCTAATTATAAATTAAAAGAATATAAAATATGCATTGAATAATACACTGTGTTAGAAAAGGATGAGTCATTTATATTAGTTATTTACTAATTAGTGAACTAATTTATTCACTTACTATTAATTAAATACCTACTAAACACGGATACTATGTTAGCTACCATGGGTATAATGATAATTCCTACACACAGACCATTTAGAATCTATTGGGAGAGAGAGACACATAAAGGCATGATAATAAACAAAGTATAACAGTAAAGCTGTACCTAGAATATTATAGAAATAAAGAAAGAAGGAAAGATGGATCTCAAATGAACTCCTAAAGTATAAGTAGGAGTTTTCTAAACAGAGAAGAAAGGTATAAGGGCATTCCAGTCAGCAAGACCAACATAATAGAAAAGATCTGGAAAAAACACATGTTATGTTCTTGGGAAAACTTCAAACATATGGAGCTCACAGACAGGAGAAACAGGTCATAGAGAGCCCAGTTTACCAGACTAAGAAGCTGAAGTTGTACTCTCTGTATGATGAGAAATCAACAAATTATTTTAAGTATGTTGGTGATATTGTCTACATTTTTGATAGGTCACCTTGGTGTTGAGGTTATATTTTATGAGACAAGCCAGTAGACTGAATCTAGTTAGAAAGTGGCCCAAGTAAAGGGTCCATGTAAGATATATTAAAAGCTTGGGTTAAGGTAGTAAATAGGGATAAAAAATAATACATGATGAATTTGGGAAATATTTAAGAGACTCTGTGAGTAGTGCAATGTGCAAGTAGGATGAGGGACAGTTAAAGGTAGTTTGAGTTTTTGTGAATTTATACATTATCTAAAATATAAACTCTAGGGACAGGGTTCATTGCAGGTGAAGTTTGAATTTTCCATGGATTATCTATTTGGAGAAGTCATTTGACAATTTGGTCTAGAGGCAAAGATAGGAGCCTGGATTTGAAATGTAGAATTAGGTGACCTCAGCCTGCAGGACACACATAATAAATGGAGCCGGAGGAAGTCTTCCTAGGAGAAGGGAGAGTGAAAAGAACAAAGTATCAAAAATGCATCTCTGGGGAACCCCAATGGTAAAGGAGCAGGCAAAATAGATGAATTTCAAAAGAGATAGAGCACACAGAGTCAGAGATACAAGAAGAACCAGAAGGGTGTGGTGTCACCAGGAGAATTAAACCTTTCAAGAAGAGGGCATGATGGTAGTTTCAAATGCAGCAAGGTTTAATAAAGAGAGGGCTGCAAATAGAGATTAGATTTAACAACTCAGAGGTTATTCATGACCTGAGTAAAAAACAAAACAAAACAAACAAAAATCTCTGGCACAGGAACCTAAGGAACAGTGTAGTTTTGTACAAATCAGATGGGATTGCATTTGAATTCCACCTTGGTTACTCACCGTCTTTATTATTATCTCTTGACCTCAATTTCCCTTTTGGCAAAATGGAGACAAAGACACACATCCCTGATGGTAGTTGTAAAAATTAGAAATGATAGTGAAATTTTTTGTCACATAATAGAGGCAAACAGAAGGAAGAGTAAGAGGTTGAAGAATAAATAAATGGGAGGTGAAGATATGGAGGCATGGGTTCATGCTTTGATTAAGTTTTGGCCTCCTATAGCACCATATTTGCCCCATCCTGAAACATTAAGTGCTGAGTGGGAACCTGAGGCGGAAAATCAAGGAAAGGACTGACAAGCTGGGCAACACAGTAGACTGGGTTTAGAGACCACAGCATTGCAGAAGCATTAGTCTGGATGGTAATGTGGTTTCCCCAGCAGCATACAGATCTATCAGTAGGAATAGAAAATGAGAATTTTGGTCTTGATCTGGAATTGAAGTCATGAAAAGCAACTGCAAAGAAGCATAGGCATAAAAGAACATTAATGGTGCTGGTGAGGGGAAATTTACATGGGTAGGGAAAGAAGGTAGGCCTGAACAGAGCCTGATAACCAGCAGGCAAATGAAAGATGTAAGGCAGTGGCTCTCAGGCAGGACCATTTCCCTTCCATACACCTACCTGTGAACATTTGGCAACATCTAGAGTTATCTGTGGTTGGCACAACTCAGGGGCAAGGGTCTGTTACTGGCATCTAATGGATGGAGGCCAGAAATTCTACTAAATATCCTACAATGCATGGGACAGTGTACCACAACAAAGCATTATTTGGCCCCAAATGCCAACAATGCCAAGACTGAGAAATTTTGACCTAGAGATTGTACATTCCCCAACAACTTGAAAAAGGCAGACATCCCTCAAAGAGAAAAGGCCTTGTGGCAAAAATTATTGACTGAATACTTTTTATTCTCTATAGCATCAAGAATAATACTTCCCTCATAGGAATGACAAAATGATGAAACTATAATTATAATATAATAAAACTGATAAAATGATAAAAATGCTATTAATACCACTAACAATAATTATTCATGTATATCAATCATTGTGTAGCATTTTATATGAATTGTCTTACTCTTTTATAAATGTTTCATTCCCAAGCCACAAGTTAAACATGGGATCTTAAGCCAGCTCTTTCAATTGTTTGGGTAGTCTCTCCTGAAAGGAGATCTTGCTTCTTTTCTACTAATAATACACAATACCAACAGCAATAAAACACCAACTCTAAAGACAACTAACATTTGTTAATGACTTCCTTTGTATCAGGTTGAATACTATAACTTGTTTAATCTTTACAATGTCCTATAAATTTATTATCAGGTCCAATTTACACTTGAGAAAGCTGTATAAATTATAGAAATTATTTGCTCAATGTCCTATAGTAGAGAGCAGCAGGCACTGGATTTAAATACAGGCTTAACCGTTTCCAAAACATAGACTCCCAGCCATGTCTTAAAAATAAAATTATGGCTACCCTGGGCATCCTATATTCCCTCATTTTTTCAGATGATATTTTTCAACATATAAACATCTTTATGGGCTGCTTTTTAAGAAGACTTTTTTCCTGTCCTCTCCATTTTAAAGGCTTCATTCCTAAGCATGCTGTTTTTAGCACTTGGATCAGCTTCTGATAATGATTGGTCTACTCGGTGAGTCAGCCATTAAACATTTATTGAGAGCTTTGTATATGCCAAATACTGTTTGAGACACTAGAGAGAGAATTGTCACCTGGACAGGCAGTCTCCCTTCACTCAAGGAGTGAGGTTCAACCTCACTCAGTGAGGTCGAAGACAAGTAACAAGCATTTAGACAAATGCATAAATAATTCCAGGTACTGATAAGTGCTAACAAGGAAAAAAGAATGTAAGATACCATGCTAGTGGCTTGAGATTAACCAGGGAAATACTTTCTGAAATGTTGCCATTTGAGTAGTGAATAAACCAAGGACAAGTACATGGCCATGTGAAAACCTCAGTGTAGGAGGTAGGGTAAATGTTTCAAGTTGAAAAAAACAGTGTAAGGATTGGAACACAAAAATACACTTGTTGAGTTTGAGGGTGAGCCTCCCACAAGCCTGAAGGTGGTTAGTGAATGAGAGAAAGGCCAGTGAGTTAGAGGGAGATGAGGTCCAGGAGGTATACAGGGCTAGGTCCTGCAGGGCTCACAGACCAGGTAGACAGTCTCCATTAAAGTAGTGCTTTCTACTAAGTATCACAAGTACAAAAGACATTAAAATGGAAAGCTAGAGGTTTTTAAATGGCAATTTAATTTGACTTGATACCTTAAAGTTTTAGTAAGTTTGACGGACAATGTGGCCAATGTATGTGTTGCATTTTGGGAATTTATAGGTAGTTTCAAATCTATTTCTCCCAGCAATGAACAGAGTTAGTGGAAAGTGAATTTTTTTAGGAAACTAAAAATGAATAAAAATATTAGTTTGTTTCCTTCATGGTGACTGTTAATGTTCACAACCACCTTCATAAACACATTGCTAACTTGAACCACTGCTAACTTGATCTATTGACTGGGTTATAATATTCTATTAAAGAGCAGATGAACATATCAGTTCTTACCTTAGAACTTAAATGAAATTTGTTAATTTATTCATTCACACAAGTAACAATTAGTTCTTGATTTCTTTTGATGCGTTGGAACTGCAGTGTGTCTTACATATATTCACCCAGTGTTAGAGCAACTAAGGGGTGAAGTAATATCAACAAAATCACACAGCTAGAAAATGGAGGCACAGTAATTTCAAATTACATTGTCTCTTCCAAGTCCAAGGGCAGATGGATATGATTGTATTTTGAGATAACTGGTTTCCATATAATTCTATGTTTTGTATTTTAAGCATTTAAAAATATTTTAGAAAGCAATTCTTAGGCTATACCCAACTCTATAAAAGCTCATGGCACATACAAAGTTAGAACATTTTTTTTGAGGCAGAGTCTTGCTTTGTCACCCAGGCTGGAGTATAGTGGCACAATCTCACTGCAGCCTGTGTCTCCTGGGTTCAAGTGATTTTCCTGCCTCAGCCTCCTGAGTAGCTGGGACTATAGGTGTGTGCCACCACTCCTGGTTAATTTTTGTATTTTTAGTACAGATGGAGTTCTGCCATGTTGGCCAGGCTGGCTCGGAACTCCTAACCTCAGGTGATTCACCTGCCTCTCCCTCCTAAAGTTCTGGGATTACAGGCATTAGCCACTGTACCTGGCTAAAACTTAAGACACTATATTATAGCAGAGGTAGTTACAAAATGCTGTAAAGATGCAAAGGAGGTAGTAATGACGTCTAGATGGTGAGGTCTAAGGAATAGGTTCATGTTAAAGATGACATTAAAGTTGCAATTTGAGGACTATGACAGGAATAGAGGGGTAAAGGAAAGTAAAGCAATCAGCAAGGGCAAATTCAGGGATTGGCTCCCGTGGCTTCAAATGCTGGATCATGAGGTGGCCAGTAGGGACTGACAACTGATACATCAAGAAAGCAATTTAAACCCTATGTCCTGCTGGACCTTTTATTCTATGCTTAATAGGTTGGGCATTATCATGAGGCAGAGGGACAACCACTGAAGATTTTTAAGTCGGTAAAGGGTATGGGGAAATTTGTGTTTTTGAAGCAATGTTCAGTAGATTAACATAGAAATAAAGTTCTCCGTGCCTTGATTTGCTGTACGGTCATACAAAGACATGGCCAACCAAATATGGAAATATCATTTGAAGTCCACCCTCACCTCCACCCACTCCAGCCCTAACACTGGCTTTCTGATTACCTTGATCCTGTGTACCAAGGGAGCAAACAGAAACACAAAGAGCTCCACAGTAGCCATGGAGTTCTGGAAGATCTTCCTTCGGTTGTTCTCTTCTTCGTCATTAGGGCTGCTTTGGCAAGGCTGCCCTGGAGAACCCTGATTTTCAACCTGATGGATGAAAGCGCTGCTGCTGCCACCCCAGCTGGAACCTCGGTCTGCACCCCCAAACCGCTCATTGTTGCAGTCCTGGGGGGCTTCCAGAAGCATCCAGTGCAGAGTGTGAAGGAGCTTTGTCTCAGCAACACCCAGTTTATCCTGGTGGCCTGCATGGGACAATTACACAGGCGGGTTAAAGCAAACTCTGTGACCAAAGCAGTGGATGTCAACATTGGGTACGGGAAGGAAGAATATGCTTGCTTTCTCTGTACTTCTTATAACCACTGCTAACAGGGCTCATTCTTGTTTTTTGGACTCCCCTATTGGCTGCAATCTCTGCAGAATGATATGCTGCCATGGGGGCAGAAACTGCATGAATCACCTTTCTTCAGTTAGGTACCCAGATATATTTCCAAATAGGCAGCATAGTGGTTAAAAATACAGGCTCTGAAGATAAAAGCTATCCTACTTTACACAATGTGACCTAGAAAGGTCCCTCTACAGGAATAATATTTGAGCAGAGGCCCAAATGAGGGAAGGAAATGGGATAGAGAAAACCATGTACACTAACGTGGGGTACATGGGTAGGACACATTGCCAGATGAGAAAAGCAATCTGTAAAATATTCTAAAAAATAGTCTTTATGCACAAGTGCACACATACACACAGTACTACAAAGTTAGTAAGTGTCTGAGGCAAACACGCCCAATTCATGAGAGTGGCTGCTTTAGGAACTGAGAGAGCAAAGCGGACAACCTTGGCTAGGACTCATCTTGGGCAAGTGAAGGTCTTAGCTTACCTCTAATATTTTAACTTTTTTTTGAGATGGAGTCTCACTCTGTTGCCCATGCTGGAGTGCAGTGGCGTGATCCTGGCTCACTACAAACTCCGTCTCTTGGGTTCAAGTGATTCTCCTGCCTCAGCATCCTGAGTAGCTGAGATTAAAAGTACACATCACCACACTCAGTTAATTTGTATTTTTCATAGAGGTGGGGTTTCACCATGTTGGCCAGGCTAGTCTCAAACTCCCATCCTCAGGTGATTCGCCTGCTTCGGCCCCCCAAAGTAATAGGATTGCAGGTGTGAGTGACCATGCCCAGTCCATTTTAATGTTTAAGAGGAGAATATATTCACATATTACTTGTAAAATTAAACCATTCAAAACATGACAGCCAGTTTCCTTACTGGTACAATGAAAATAATGATAGTATAAATGTGAGATTTTGTGATAATTAAATGAGATAATGTATGCACAGTACTTGAGAAAACAGTAAATGCTCAATACAGGTCACTATGATCAGTGTTGAACACAAGGGCAATGACATGCCATAAAGAAGTAACACAGGGCACCAACCTAGCTTGTTTCGGTTTGAAAGCAGGGTTGCAGTGCAGTGGAGGACATGAGGCAAAGCAGCTTGCACAAGTTCCCATCTGGAAATGCTCTGGATGGCTTCAGAGAGAGCTGGAGAGAGGCCATGCAGCTTGTTTTCTACCAACACTCGCTCAAAGGACTGCAAATACAAAACAAAAACAACAAGAAAAACCAAAATCCAAAATCATGTAAACTAAGAAATTGAGTGTTCTGATTAGTGAAAAATGAACAGCAAGTTACTGTACCCATTAAAAGGTGCAAATTACTGGACCAAATTCTTTAGGGTGCACTCATTGCATTTTCTTATATATGTTGATACACAGTGGGTCAGTACTAATTTTCTATTATCTACCCATTTGCATGCTTTTGAGCCAAAGTAAGTGGCTTGAATTAATAAATGATTTTTATTTCTGTTAAAGTAAGCTTCCTCTAACAAACAGGAACAACGTATTTAACCTCATGAGATTTCTGGATGTATATTTTATAAAATATTGCTGAGTCATCCAAAAGGCTGTCACAACTGCAGACCAAAAGGAGTTTTTTGTGAAAGTGTCTTGAGAAACATAATTTATGTCAATTTCTTCAACTGGTGTTAAGTAAGATACAACTTTTTCAAGAATTCTGATTTTGGAATCCCTGATTTATTTCATGGCCTAGCAATGACCTAGCACAGAACACTCTTTACCTAATGCCTGAAACGGTAAAAGATACTTAATTCATCTGTGGAAGAAAGAAAGGAAGGGAGAGCAGGAAGGGGAGAGGGAGAAGGAAAATAAGCTCTCTTAACTTTGTTGGTTATTAAATTTTATATTGTTGCCAGGGATACTCAAGAGAGCATCAGAGAGTATAGCACTCCAGAATGAGTAACAAATCTGACCTAGTCAATTATTTTTTTTTCTTTTGAGGGAGGAGGGGAATATCATTGTAAGGTGTTGGAGAAAATGTAGTTACCAAATATTAGAATAAATTTAATAAACATTTGGCTTGTAAAAACATGATTGGTACTTAATGACCCAATCAAGAAAATTGTATAAATGTTCTAAATAATAATCACAATACAAGTCCCAAATGTTCAAACTGTATTATTGGAATTATTAGGATACCTGTGAGAAAGACAGGTATTCTAATATGGCTTACTATGGAGATTTCCAAAGAAAACTTTTTACTTTTTGACTCAAAAAAAAGAAAAATCAGAAATTCATGTTTATAATGAAAGGTACACTGAGGTTTTGGTAAAGAGTATAATGAGAGATGTAATATTTTGCTTTAAGAAACTACACAAAGGCCTTTAGATATGTTGGTGATGTAAATACAAATACTATAAAATTCATCAGTCCTCAGGTATCTAAGTATTCATTAAGTAAAAGTTGAGTATATTAGACACTAAAAGATGACAAAGAATTTACACATTCTAATTAGTATATTGTAGAGGATGAGTATGCATTTCATAATCTCAGAGTGTTCTGAGTAATATCATTTTCCCCTTAAGTGTCAATAATACAACTTTTAATATTTTTTTTGAAACTTCAGAAGTTGTTTTCTGTATTGAGATCCATATATCTCTAGCCTTATCTATCCATTAATATAACAACTATTTGATATTTTGTGGCTACATTAAAAATGTCAGAAGTATCTTTGCCAAAAACAGAGAAAAGTCAGGATTATTTTAAGCTAGTATAATTGTCAGCATGGTTAAGATAGCTTGAGATTTCAAATGTCAAATCACTCTAACAAGCTAAGTTCAACAACAAATTCCATTAAAAGGTGCTTATAAGAAAGTTACATTAAAAAATATATATGTTTGTGACAACATTGAAGGACAGGAGATGCAACAAAACAAATTCCTCCTTGACTGGGCATGTATGTGTTTAACTCTCCAGTTGGCTTCCATGAGAATTTTTTGCTCTGACACATCTCAGAGCTCTTTACTACAAGATCATCTGTGTAGCTATTTGTAAATATGAATGGCAATATCCAAATTGGTAGATCTCCACTTTTATGTTATAATATATCCAACGTAAAGACTTTTGGATAAGCTCCAAATACTAATGAAGGCTGTGAAAAGTCCATTTCAATTTTGCTTCATGATTTTGTGTCTTATTTTCCCAATTTGTAAAATGAGAATTTGTAGGGATATAAGATTCCCTTAGAATCTCAGGACAAATGCATTTTATTTTGTATATATATTAACAGTATTATTTTCATAGTTATTTTATGTTATTCATTTTTAGAACTGCAGTACATATGCAAGACATAAAAGTGCAGAATTGCACATATCTTGTTCAAAGAGTTCTTTCACAGGCACTTCATCATATGAACTTCCACTATAACAGCCTGTTTTGTTGATTAAGGATTTGACTTCACACTTGCAGGGGGAAAACAAACCCTCCACCACCTGGTTCTCTGTTCTCTCTCTGTCCTTTCTTCCACCACTGGATCCCTCCCCGTCCTTTCACTTACTCCTCAGTAGATGCTAAGTTCCTTTAACTTGTTTTCTCTGTTCTTCCCTCAGCTATCCTTCCCTCCCTTCCAGTTGTGACTTTGGCCTAGGTTCACATTAATAGATAAGCCTTATCTACCCATTGTTTATACAATTCCCATCCCTAGTGCTTCCTAGTATCTCTCCTTGCTTAATTTTTCTGCATAGTACTTGCCACCATCTGGCTTACTATGTATTTACTTATTTGGTTGTGGCTTGCCCCCTTTCCACTAGAATGTAAACATTCTATTTGTTTTTATCATTGTTCTATTCCAGCACAGAGAATTATGCCTGGCACAAAATAGGTGATCAATAATATTTGCCAAGTGAATTAATGTATATAGTCCGTTTGATTTAAAATCTTTCTTTGGGTTCAAACCACCACATGGAATAGGGAAATAATTATCAAATGGTGAAAATCACATACCACACAAGAAGCTTCATATTGCTTCCCCAGTTTGGGCCTCAAAAATGCACTGAAAATTAATAGAGATATTTGTTAATAAACATAAATAAAATTACTATTAAAGCATCCTTGTGACATATTTTTAATGAATAAGACAGGGTGCTATGAAATTCAAATTTCATGCTTCCTTATAGCTTGTTAATGAGCAGGTGTTGAACAGCTGATGACATTTTCTTTTACACGTGTAATTGCATATATGAAAGAGAAGTGGATCTCGGTTTTCAGTATCCACTTTTATTCTGAAGACTTTTAAGATTTTAAATCGCCAGTGGTCAGAAGTGGTGAATTACTTACGTGTACAGTCATAATAAAAACCGAAAATTAAACATGGCTTGTGGGTCATGATTTCCAGGGTCTAATTTCTTATCTGACAAATCTCTAAAATAATAATAATAAAGAAAATCTTTTCTGTTTATTTGAATAGCTGTCAGGCCTTTCCGGGGTTTCGGGGATGGGGGGTCCCTTATCACAAATCCTCAGGAGCTTTAACTGGAGAGATTAATCTGAGCAAAATGGTTAACAAGTGGGCATAGCAGATATTCGCCAAACAGGAGCTGGAAAAACAACAGGTCACCAGGCTAGAATTACAGCAGGAGATGGAGGGGGAATTGGATGCAAGAGCACAACCAGTCATAATTATCTTTCCTAGCTCCCCACCCCCTCTTCCCAGGCTCTCTGCCCTCCCACCCCCTAAAGAATGTATATATTTATTCGACAACTGCCAATCTGCTTGTCGTCAAACTTCACTGAAAGATACACACATATATTTTAATGCGTGTTTTTAAGCGGGTGCAGAGGGCTTGTTTTCCAGCCCCAGAGAGGGAGCTGCAGGCTGTGGCGCGGCCTCAGCGGCGGCGGCGGCTGCGGCGACCCGGGCGGCCCCAGGAGCGCCCCCAGCCCAGGGCGGCCCACGGCGCGCCCTCTGCGCCCCTCACCTGGTTTGCCGCCACAGGAAGGTCTGGATGGGCAGGGGGATGCCGCGGCCGCCGTCCTGCTCCTGGCCCTCGGAGCTCTTCCTCTTCACCATGATGGTGGCTCCCGGGAGTCCTACTGCAGGACCCAGCGCTGTCTCCTCGCTAGCCGCTGCCACCGCCTCCTCCCGCTGCTCCCCCCAACTCTCATCCCCTCCTTCCCCGAGGCAGAGCAGGCTCTCTCCGCCCTGATTCCCCGTGCCTCTCCCCTCCCCCCACCCCTCCCCGCGCGTGGAACATGGCTGCGGGAGGAGGGGAGGGCTGGAGGAGCCGCGGAGCGAGGAGGGGGGCGCTCGGAGCAGCCGTCCGCCTCGCCGCCCCCGCACCCTCTCGCTGCTTTCAGCACCTCCCACTGTGGACAGGGGCCCGCGCCGGGCTGCAGGGCCGGAGAGGCGAATCCCCCTCAGCTTGAGTTGCAGGGATAAGACCCAAGCAGTCCACGCTCCGCATCGCACGCGCTGCTCCCCAGCGCGGCCTCTTCAGTCCCCGGAATTCGGCTTCCCCTGCTCCGAGCTGTACTCAGGAGTGTCCCCTGTCCTGCTTTCCAACCTCAGCATCCGAACTGTCACCGTCTGGGTAGGAGGAGCTTTGGGGAACCGCAAAGCAGTCACTAATCATTCTCACCTCTAGCAAGGAAGTCAGGAGTCTAGGGTTTCGCCGGAGAAGCACATGAACATTATTAAAAGTGTAAACCAGGAAGGGGAGGCAAGCTTGGCAAGTGAGAGGAAGCTTGAAAGATAGATGTGAGAAGTTATTTTTATATGATAACCACAAGGAAAAACAATAACAACAACAACAACAACAACAACAACAACAAAAACTCTTGTTTGTTTTCCCAAAGCAGGAGTACAAAGTTCCCAAAGTAACCAGTTGTGGATATCAGTCAATTGTAAATTGAGGAAAGACATTTGAATCATGTTGTGAAGACATGTGGTTTATTACAGTCCATTAAATGTACTTGGGTGATCCTGTTCATCTCCAGTGATAGCTACCATTTCCCTTCAGTTGTAATAGTCAAATGCCTATGTATTAATATTTTATAGTTGCATTGCTGTTAGATGTATTATCTAGCAGTAAAACAAGTAGTCTGGGGGATGGTGGGGAGGCGGGGTGAAGCAATTCAAACAGTAACTACCTGCAGTTCTTCTTTCTTCTTTTCCTACTCCTCCTTCCCCTCCTCCTCCTTATTCTTCCTCCTCCTCCGTTTCCTCCTCTTCCTCCCCTCTTCCTCCTTTTTTCCTCTTCCTCCTCCTCTTCTTCCTCTTCTTCTTATTCCTCCTTCGACAGGTCTCCCTCGTCACCCAGGCTGGAGTGCAAAGTTGCAATCACAACTCACTGCAGCCTTGACCTCTCAGGTTCAAGAGCTCCTCTCACCTCAGTCTCCCCAACAGTTGGGACTACAGGTGTGTACCACTACTCTCAGCTAATTTTTTATTGTTTTAGAGATTGTTGCGGGGGATGGGGTGTCACTCTATGTTGCCCAGGCTAGCCTCAAACTCCTGGGCTCAAGCAATCCTCTCACTTGGCCTCTCAAAGTTCAGAGATAACAGGCATGAGCCACCATGACTGGCCTCATCTTTTAGAGCAAACATATTGGCGTAATACGTGAAATGAAGAATGAGACTCCAGGTCCTAATCCCAACAGATGTAATAGTTCATATATAATTAACAACATAGTATATATGGATATTTTTAGCAAAAGGAATAAATTCTTCATTTTCTTTCTTGAAGTTATGTTTTATTATGAATATCAAAATATGGATCTTGAAACAAAGAAAGATCCTAATATACTTTATTCAAGGCATATTTATTGAGTGCATTTTATATATTAGACACTATGCTGCATAGACTCCTGCTTACAGGGAAGTCTGAATATTAAGAGAAGACAGACATGAAAAGAGAAAATAATCATGGGAGATACGAATGCAGATTCAGGTATGAATGAAGAGTCAAGGTAGAAATTAAGTGCAGTAACCAGATGGAGACATTCTATGACAAGCTAGAAAGTTTGCCTAGAAAGCCTTTAAGTAGAAAAGTAGAAACTTCATATCTATTAAATGTGAATGATATGACAGGAATGTAAGGATTGTTTGAAACAGGGAAGAGTTGTACATAGGAACCCAAGTATGGAGATTAGAGAAACATTTTATGAGATCTTGAACCCTGATCATAATAGCAGAACTACAGACAAGGGGTGAGTTTAAGTAATACTACAGAGGTAGAATTAATAGGACATGATGATCAAGTGGGCGTGGAAAAAGAGAAATAGCACAGTGATTAAGAGCTTAAGTCTTGAGCCAGACAGCTTTGGCTCTAGCCCTAGTGTTAACTAGATAAAATTACAAGAAAAGTGAAAAAACTTGACTAAGATTTCCAAAGAATACCTTCCCCCATAGAGATATTATGAGAATTGAATGTTATTACTTGTAAATGATGAGGACACGTGGACACATACAAGGGAACAGCACACACTGGGGACTTTCAAAGAGTGGAGGTTGAGAGGAGGGAGAGGATAAGGAAAAATAGCTAATGGAAACTTAAGCTTAATACCTGAGTGATATTGTACATAAATCTATACAACAAACCTCCATGACACAAGTTTACCTATGTAACAAACTTGCACATGTACCCCTGAAGTTAAAATAAAAATTAAAAAGAATGTAAGAGAGGTCTCAGATCTATACAAAGCTTTCAATAAATGTCATTTGACTTTCTCTGCATTTATTGTCTTTGTTTCTGTTTATGTGGTGAATTGCATTTATAGACTTGTATATGTTGAACCAGCCTTGCATACCCGGGATGAAGCCTACTTGATCATGATGGATAAGCTTTTTGATGTGCTGTTGTAGTCAGTTTGCCAGTATTTTACTGAAGATTTTCCCATCTATTTTCATCATGGATATTGGCCTGAAGTTTTCTTTTCTTGTTGAGTCTCTGCCAGGTTTTGGTATAAGTATGATGTTGGTCTCATAAAAAGATTTGGGGAGGATTCCCTTTTTTTTTTTGATTGTTTGGAATAGTTTCAGAAGGAGTGGCACCAGCTTCTCTTTGATTGTCTGGTAGAATTTGGCTGTGAACCCATCTGGACCTGTTTTTTTTTTTTTTTTTTTTTTTTTTTTTTTTTTTTTTTTTTTTTTTGTTAGTAAGCTATTAATTGCTGCTTCAACTTCAGCCCTTGTTATTGGTCTATTCAGGGTTTCTACTTCTTCCTGGCTTAGGCCTGGGAGATTGTTAAGTGTCCAGGAATTTATCCATTTCTTCCAGGTTTACTGGCTAATGTACATAGAGTTTTTTGTAGTAATCTCTGATGGTGGTTTTGAGTTCTGTGGAATCTATGGTGATATCCCCTTTATCGTTTTTCATTGCATCTATTTGATTATTCTCTTTTCTTTTTTATTAATCTGGCTAGTGGTCTATTTTGTTAATCTCTTCAAAAAAAAACCAGCTCCTGGATTTATTGATTTTTTGAAGGGTTTTTTTGTGTCTCCATCTCCTTCATTTCTGCTTTGATCTTAGTTATTTCTTGTCTTCTGCTAGCTTTTGAAATTTTTTAATCTTGCTCCTCTAGCTCTTTCAATTTTGGCAATAGGGTGTCAATTTTAGATCTTTCCTTGCTTCTCATGTGGGCATTTATTGCTCTAAATTTTCCTCTAGACATTGCTTTAAATGTATCCCAGAGATTCTCAATTTTGGCAATAGGGTGTTGATTTTAGATCTTTCCTCGCTTGTCATGTGGGCATTATTCCTCTAAATTTTCCTCTAGACACTGCTTTAAATGTATCCCAGAGATTCTGGTATGTTGTGTCTTCGTTCTCGCTGGTTTCAAAGAACATCTTTATTTCTGCCTTCATTCCATTGTTTATCCAGTCAATATTCAAGAGCCAGTTGTTCAGTTTCCATGAAGTCGTGTGATTCTGAATTGATTTCTGAATTCTGAGTTCTAATTTGATTGCACTGTGGTCAGGAAAAATATTAATAATGTACTGATAACGTACATTGAATATTGTTATATTTCAAAGTCTGTTTGAAACACATTAATCGATTAAAACAATACTTAAGGAGGAGAAAACTGAGACATAGCAAGGTTATATAACCTGCTTAAGGTTATACAATAAATGAAGGAAAGTGGGAAGTCTGAGTTCAAAGTTCTATTTCTACATTCTACTGTAATACTGAGTATTGTTAGTTGTGCGGGTTTGGAAGATGTACTGTCAGTCATGAAAATGAAAACTGTTCAAGGACATAGGAAAGAATTGCTCCATTGAGGGCAAAAATTAAAGAAGAGTGAACATCCCTTTCCATTCCCAAATGCTCTTGAGGCAGTGAGTTTTTCCAGGAAATCTAAAATAACAAGCACTGTCAATATCAGTTTTTAAAATAACTTTTTAGTGGAGAATCAATATTACTGTTGTAGTTTACCTCTCATGCACCCACTGAAAACCCCCAAATATTTTATATGTGAGGAAAAAAAATTTGTCCTCTCTAAATGCTTTATCCACACTGCCTTCTGTCATACATCTTATTTTGAATTCGGGTAAGCACTATTGGAGGAAAGTTAAGAAATGAGTTCATCTAGAAAATTACACCACCACAGTCAATGAACCAGCTCTACAGTAATTACTGTCTCACTGTGCAAGACATTGGATTGGATGTGAACCTTTCCCAGTGCTGGTGCCCGGTGATGTAGTGGCCTTGAGCCAGGAGAGAAAACTAGTTACCAGACCTTAGGAAGCATGTGAAAAAAACTCTAAGATCTAGACAGATACAGCTAAAAACATGTCAGCCCTCAAGGTTATCTTCTTTTTTTTAACAGAAGGGCACATTTTTATAGTGACCAGATTCCAAATTATCAGATGTGTATAAAAATATTCTTGGCAGATAGGCTGAGCAGAGGAGAAGTCTGGCTGGGTTATAGAAAATATTGCTACAGTAAGGAGAATCTGGAATGCTGTGTAAGTACATGAAAGCTACTAATAATATAAACGATCATAGTAAACAAAAACAGTTTTTGAAAAAAAAGCCTACCATTACCACTACTCTATGGCAACCCATTAGAAGTTGAAGGTAAAGAAATGATTGCTGTATCATGCATCAGTCAGGAGTGTATGATGATTACTCTATGACAACCCATTAGAAGTTGAAAGCAAAGCATGATTACAAAGGGCACACTTACCTTGGGATCACTCCCACTAGGCAGAAGTGGATACATCCCATGTGTCTGGTTCATCTTTAGCCCAAATAGCTGATCTGTCCGAAGAGGACAGTCCCAGTGGTATCTCAGTGCCAAAACAAAA